TTTCAAAAAATATCTTGACAGTTTTATGGTTTATTACGTGAATGAGACATTGACGCTCACTAATCAGAATTTCAGCTCCAACCGTTGCCGCTACCTTGACGTGGTGGTCGGGCTTGCCTATCGTGATGAACCAATCGAGCTGTACTGGCTGGAACAATTCTTCCTCAAAGTCCTACCATGCTAGACAGGTCGGTAAGATTAAAAGTAGCAAACCCAAGGTCCGAGGGCGAAGTCGTACTACTGACTGTACAGAGGTGTGACGGCAGTAAGGTGTTTCCTTCAGACAACCAGCATGACAGCGATACTGCCTTCTCGCAAGGAGGGTTGGGGTTAGAAAAGGTCGACCCTAAAAACACACACCTCGCCTTATCCCACGGATTTCCGTCTCCGGCGGTAAGGTCCCAACAAGCACGGAGCTAACACGAAAATTATTCACAAAAAGGTCGTGTGTGACTGACCTCAAGCAGTTCTTCATTGGGCACTGCGGATACACTCTCAGGTCACTAAGACCACCCCTAACCCAATTTTCTTTTCAAGTACCTCTGGAAGAACCCTCCCACGGTGTGGACAACAGGGAAGTAATAACCGCCCTCACACCTCTAACAGCACTCAAAATCACTGTATTCATAATCAATCTCCCTCTTCAATTAATATTATTCCTCCTACCCAGACTTTCAACTCTAAACTTCCTCCTCAAGTGTCACCACGGCCAAAGATTCTAGTAAGCGAAACACTTTCCCAGGTCTACTGAAACCACGCTCCAAACTACACATCAGAACCCTCAACTTACGCACCCAATGTCAAATCGGCCAACAGGCCTTCTTGGCTAAAATCCCAGAATCTCGTACCACTGATGTATGCTGTGTCTCCGAAACACATATATATGATCCTAGTGTGGTCATTCACTTGACCTCACCACGACAAAACGGAAAGCCGACGAGATACACCATTCTTTCATCTGGCGACCAGATGACTAGTTCTTGTAGACTGGCGGGTGTCTACATAGCTCTCGAAAGGATAGGGACACATGTCGTTGTCTTTTCGTTGTTTCCGCCTACACTCCCAGAATGAAGTTCAGATTAGGCGAAAGATGACTTTTACAGAAAGGTTTTTGAACTTCTTCAAAAAGCTAAACGCTCAGACATAGTACTCGTATCAGGTGACTTTAATGCCCAAGTGAGACATTTAAGTGGGTATTTTAGTATTCCGGCTCAACGAACAGATAATGGTGACCGTCTGTTGCATCTGTGCTCAGACAATCGTTCATTTTTACCAAGCACTAATTTCAAGCATAAGGCAAGACACTGTCTAACATGGCGGCGACCCTTTGCACCAAAATAACGATGGACTCAAACAGACCATATTGTCATCAGTGATCGTTAGAAGCTAGAGAGAAGACTCCCGCTCGTTCTGGAGTACATGTTTACGATGTGATCATGATCTAACACGAACACGCACTTGCTCGCGCCCTAATGGACGCAGAAAAGCCACATTAGGATCAATAAGAGTTGAAAAAGCCAAAGGTAAATTCCAGGAACAAATGAAGTCACACAGCCTGCACTCCATCTCGAAATGCTCTCAAGAGGCCACGTGCATACAAACACTGTCAGGGAAATCCTACTCACTGCCTTTTCATAGCGGGGGTGTTGTGTACGAAATCGAGAAGACGAAAAGCGAATGTCACGCGTCTGAACCAGGTTGGTGGATACGGAGGATCCACATAGGGTAGTTGGAAAACCCTGATTCCAAACCAACGATGCTCATGGGCTCCAATGTCCTGAAAGAACAAATGGCGTATGAACCAATTGTTGGTCGTCGACTACCATGGGACTGCATTTCCTTACGTTGCTCCACTGCCTTGTGGATTAAATGTTTAGGTCAAAGGCTCGGAATGTGGCTACCTAAGTAAACCACCTTTTTCGGTTTAGGCACCCGGGCAGTATCCCAGCCCTCATACGGTTCGAACGATTTATGTGCCGCATACATATTTGGTGCTCCCTTGTACCAATGTTTCTATGTGGAATCACACAAAGGTAATTTTGAAAACATGGTTGACCCAGATGTTGCTTGCAAATACATACGAACAGCTGTGGAAACAGCAGCGAAATCTATTAGTGATTTAAACCAAACGTTTACGAAAAACCAATGGGTTTCCGCTGCATCTATTGTACTGATAGACTCGCGTAAACTTATCCCATCAGGCTCCGAACATGACGATGAGCGAGAACAAATCAGATATAGATCAATCAAAAGACAAAGAAACGACCGTGAGCAGTGGGGGGCAGCGAAAACAAGAGATAATGGAAAGGCAGCTGCCGTAGGTAACACCAAACAGCTTTATATATAAAAGAAAGATTGCATATAAGAACATAATACAAGAAAGAACTGGTTCGTAGAAAAAAAGGTACTAACCAGTTTCAATCTCACGGTTTAAGGGAAGACAGGGAGTGTATACACCGACGCCATTGTGATCGGTCCGGAGCCAGGTCATCCAGTCTCCACCTATTAGTTACGATGGCCGCGCGGATCCCAATCAAGTAGTCTGCATCCACCAACACGGCTAGGACTAGAAGCTAGTGACTTCAAGCACTGATGCCACGTTTTGTTTTGGCCGCTCCTCAATAATTATCGGACGCCTAACTAAGACTCGTAAACTACAAATAAGAGGAAACCAGGCTGGCTTCAGACCTGGTCGTAGCTGCATCGACCACATGTTCAACATTTGCCGAGTTCTAGAACACAGGCATGCTCATCGGCATCCAACAATGACAGTTTTTCTTGACTTAAAAGCAGCATTTGACTCCATTGACCGAGAGGTTCTGTAGCAGTACCTGTCATTGAAAGGTGTACCTCAGAAATACGTAAACCTTGTGAGGGTTCTTTACTCGAACACTACCAGCCGAGTCAGAGTTTATGAAGAACTGTCATCGGATTTCGTAATCTCAAGTGGTGTCCAACAAGGCTGTCCACTATCAAAATTTTTGTTCAATTTCATCATAGACCCACTGCTAGAAATAACGTTCTCGTCGACTGAATTTTCGGAAATCGACCAACCAGGAGGTCCCCTTACTGACTTAGAAGTCTAAGATAAAATGCAGTCTTTTGATAGCACTGAGCAACAATGTCAGGGTGTTTAAAATGCGTTTCTCCCCCTCTAAATACAAGTTGTTACTTTAGGACCCACTTGAGTCAACACCCGAACTAAGGATAGGGAGTGAAGTAGTCAAACGCGTCGACAACTTCACTTATCTTGGAAGTCTGATCAGTTTTAATGGATTGGTGTCTGACGAAGTCTCTGCACGAATTTAAATAGCTCGTTTAGTTTTTGCCAACTTACGTCACCTATGGCGAATGCGAGATATCCGTCTATCAATAAAAGGACAAGTATACTGTGCAGCACTTCGTTCGATTCTACTTTTCGACTGCGAAACGTGGCCATCAAGGGTAGAGACTATTCGCAAGTTACTAGTATTTAACCACAAATGTCTTGGAAATATTGCTTGCATCTGCTGGGATCACAAGGTAAGTAATAGTGAGGTTAGATGCATGGTATTAGGGAATGATGGCAAACCAGTTGAAGAGGTTGTGGATATTTATCGACTGAGGTGGTTGGGCAACGTATTACGTATGCCTGAACACCGAATACCACGGCGCTCTATGCTGACTAGTGTTGGAGATGGATGGAAGAAATTTAGGTGTGGCCAAACCAAAACGTGGCATAATCCATAGTCACTAACTTCTGGTTTGAGCCATGTTGATAGATCCAAACTACTTGATTGGGGTCCGCGTGACCATCGTAACTAATAGATGGAGACTGGATGACATGGCTCCGAATCGATCACAGTGGTGTTGGTGTATACACTCTGTCTTCCCTCAAACCGTGAGACTAAAATTGCTTTGTACACTCTTTGTCCAGTATCCTGAAGGAACAAACGGCGTATGAACCAATTGTTGGCCACTAGTAACCATGGGACTGCATCTCCATACGTTGCTCTACTACCTTGTGGATTAGATCTTTAGGTCAATTCTCGGAATGTGGCCACCTAAGTAAACCACCTTTTTCGGTTTAGGCAACCGGGCAGTATCCCAGCCCTCACACAAATCGAATGATTTATGTGCCGCATACCTATTTAGTGCCTCCATGTACCAATGTTTGTCTAAATAAATGAATAATTTGTGACAACTTGGACCGATGCATATATGTGCCTGGTCCTACGTTGTAGCTAACTGACTAAAAGCTTCAGCACTCTGAATCACTCATAAATATTTTTTAAGGTTAGAAAACTCATAAGGCTATGAAACTCTAGTTTATAAATGTTAGGCTGCAACTTTTAATCAGTAGTCGGAATTATTTAGGTTTCAATCTGCTGATATTTAGCCCACTAAGCAGTATCATCATCATCTTTTATACAACGGATTCGACTCACCGACTAGTATACAGGAATGTTAGCTTCTAATGAATTTTACTTTTCTATATTTAAAATTATTTATTTACTTCAATTCACCTAAACGACTTGTTGATTTTGGTACTGCTTTTCCGAGAATTTGTGAAATATGGCAGCTACTTTCTTGGGATTTTTATTGTCATAGTACTTATTCAGAGGGAGGGAAGCCCACATCAGTTAGACTTCAATCGGTAATCTATTTTGGACGTCCACAGTACTTTTTCACAGAGTTTAAGAGCATGGAGATAATGTCTACTGTGGGTTGAAGACATGTACAAACCTTAATGCAAAATACTCCACTGTTTTGCTTAACTGTGACAAATCCTAGTATCACCCCAGCTGCCGGTAATCAAATATTTTATGCATTAATTCTCATGTCAAAAGTTAAGGCGGAGACCGAAATAAATCGAGGTTAGCAAGAGCTAAGTTAATATACTCAGAACTACATCAAAAACGTTACAACGCACTGATAGGTATCTGAGTATAATAACATTCCAAATCACAAGTGTCCGCAAGATTCCACTGAGTGGACGGAGAGCATCGGAGTAGTGATAAAATTGGTAAAAATGAGTTACAGCATTGTTGTAGATAGTAACAATTATTGAAAATGACAAATTTCTTGGCTTGTCTGGGATAGTACTGAATCATAATTTTGACGTAAGATCTATAATGAAAACAGTATGTTTAAATATCAAGAAATGATATTAGCCATTGGACGACGATAAACAAAGGTAAATAAAAGGCGTGATGTAGAGGTATAAATTATGTTTCTACAGGATTCCTAAAACACATTTGCGATTAAATCTAGCTAGAGGACAGTATAGATTGATGTACGAACATAAAAATGCGATTGAATGACATGATAAATATTCCGTTAACCAGAAGTTTGAGATAATATCTAGACAATTATCGAGCAGCCCTTACAAATCCAAAACCAAATAGCAGAGATACATTATAGAGATCACGAAAATTATTCGTACCACCTGCGGTCATCTGAAAAATCGATACAAGTTTTAATTATTATGTACTGCTAAACAAAGTTCATTTGTGCAGTGTAAATAGCAATGAGCTAAAAAGGACTTACCGAATAGTACCTTGCAACGGATTTTACTTGTTCGTAATCGTTAGCCTTAGCAAGCTGAACAAGCCCCTCAGGGTTAAGTTTTCCGCAGCGAGGATAAAGTTTGGATCTATCTTCGTTTGAGAGTTCTGTTCCGAATGAATTGATTGTTATGATAAACGCCCTTCTGTCAGCTTCAAATGCCAACAACTCACACATCACCTCCGCAGTAATTCCACCCAGTGACTTACAGAAGGCATAAAAATCTTCAATATACGCCTACAGAATTAGGTTGTGGAAAAAGATTAACATACCCTGTATAAAGTGTTACGTATTATCTCTATATTAAGTTCATCTAAGTCTTGCTCCGAAATACAATCAATAAAGAATGGAGCTACAGAAATAAAACCACGATTAGAATGATACCTAGAGGCGTGTCCACGAGTACAGCATTGTATAACTCAGCTGGGTTAGTTGCAATATTCAGGGTTTCCATTTCCAGAAATGTTCCAAGAGGGTGGCATTTAGTCATAAGTTCAGATATCGGTCTTCCATGGAGAGTCCCTGTTATCAGAAGCACGATATTATCAATCATATAGCTGTATGTGATGTAATCCAAGAATAAAGATAATGGGTATACAGCTTGGTTGCGTATGTGTCGGAACTCAGACACAAACTTTTCGCGAATTCTTTCTTCAATGATCCCCACAGTCAAAGGTCCAGGTTCATTGGCAAGAAATTCCCCATAGTCAGTATCATGCAGGTGGAGCTTTAGGTCTGGTTATTGGAATTACACTAAAACATAATTGACGAATCCCTACCATCCAATGTTTCACACTGTACTAGCACGTGGTAATCAGCTTGCTTTAGAAGTCCACCCTTAATTCCACGTGCTAGACCTTCTAAATAACCACTATCTGCATTGAAATTCACCAAAGAAATCGGTAGAACCTCTGTCATTATGAAGCCGCCAAAACCACAATCCTCAATGACTCCCGTCCTTGAAAAAATTAGATCACCATTGAAAGTTGAATGAACCGAAAGTTATGGGTAGATTTCAAATATTTCTGTGATGACATCAACAGTGTCAAAGACCAGTAGGTGACCAGATAGATTATCCCAGACTTAACGCCTTTTGAGGGCATTTGGACATTCGAGTCGACAAATCAGTAGATACAAAACGTTTCTCATCTTGCAGGTCTCCATCAACCACTGTGGCAATATAAAGACCGCAGATAAACTTCCGAAACATGTAACCAATGTGATCTACAAGGCTCTCAAGGCATAAAAGACTCTGTTAAAATTAATTAAGGTATGGCGCCACGATCAGAATGAAGCAACTCAGTTATTAGTCAAGTAATTAATAATTTCTGAATGGATTATGGATGTTTTCAATCATCTGCATTATTTATCATGGTTTGGCTAATAGCAAAGGAAAGTTGTCAGAAAACCTCCCATTGTAACTTTTATGTTCTCAGTTGACATGATTCGGGTTGTGGGCAGCAAAGTACTTACAATAAGTAAAACATTCATAGAACAAATAGATCTTTAGGCATTATACTTTAAGGCGGGTAATAGGTTTCAACAAACGTTACTTGGTGAAAGGACATCGGCCAGGAATATTGACCATATTAAGATACAGCTAAGGTGAAATGCTTCTTCAATATTCAAAATGGTTAGAAATGCTGTCAAGTGCGGCAAACAAACCCACAGTCGAGAATTCCTCTGGTACCCCTGCATATTAATGCTGACATAACAAGTTCGAAGACATAGAGATTAATAAGAGCAATCAAAATCTTCTGTTGGTTGAATTCTGTGAACTTATAGAACCTCTATCAAAGTAATCAACAGAGTGATACATATGATACTTTTTGTTTTATCAGAATTCTCACATTCGTCGTTCATGAGTACACCATGTTTGGACAATGCTGCACTATGTGTAGTGCCAGAAGTGAAAAACAGATGTTGTTAATTCATTATTGCAAACCCTGTGACCGCCCAGACTGCTGGTGAAAGTATCCACCACTGTCTCTTCCATCAGTAATCCTTTCAATGTTGGACAACAGATCACTGCAGATATTATAGTTATTAATAATGCTTCACAAATGGATTGAGTATGATAAAATATTGACCCTAAGGACCGGTGCAACAGCATCAGTCGTTAGACCTGTGTAAACTTACACGACCGATGATTGACACTTCGCCTAAATCTTCCAGTCACCGAGTGAAACTGTCGACGAGTGCAACGTTGAATTCCATCTCTTACGATTCTGAGACACTTGAAGAATAATACGAAAGTCAAAGCGAAGTTTTTTCAAGCAGAGGTTTTTTATAACGACGCAAAATATCTCCAAACCATAATACCACAAAGTCTAAAGGCGTCATGTGACACTATAGTTCTCAGAAAATGGGACGGCACGTCGTCGCCATGTCGATTTATGCTGGCAGAAACTGTTGTGAGAGTTATCGACAGCCAAGAATATACCATCTTTATGTTGAAAAAGGTTCGGTTTCCTAACAATACTAATTTAGAAGTAATCGGCGTCTTCTTTATGGTAGAACGGTGGAAAACCGGATCAAGAATGCATGGATAAAATGCCCATGAACCCCGAATAATAACTTGAAAAAAACACAACTGCTAGCCATGAGCTGTAACTGCATCAGCCCGCGATAGATTACCGAAGCCCTGGGCAAATAAGTGCGAACTTTGAGAGATCTTATTTGTTAGTAGATAAAAAGCGACGAATAATATGAAGATGTAATTCCACCATAGAATGATAAGTCGATTCAATGAATTCAAACAGCCAGTCACGAGGAAGCAAATATTGAAACCACCAAAGAATAATGGTTGAATGAAGTGAATCGGGAAGGCCAGTGAAGTACCGTATAAAAACAAGGAAATAACAATATTATTATTCACAAACATCTTATGGGTACATAAGTGTTGTGAAGAAACCATTTCGGGTTTCGTTAAAGATGCAATAATACACAGGTTTCAATAATTTCAGCCATATTTGAAAAAGAGAAGAAATAATAATGATAATGGAATAATAATAGTAAATCAGGTTATGAGTAATTGAGAAGAATATTGAATTAACTTCAAAGAAGGAAAGGGAGGAAATAATGCAATAGAAATAATGGGGACGTGAGATACGCAAATACTTTAATAGGCGTGTTTATGAACACAGAACAAGAATACAAAACTATGTATGTATCGTCAAATAAGTAGCAAAAATGAAATAGAAAATAATTGAGAAAAAATAACTTATTGTTGCAGTAAGATATGACTTTATGACGCTAAAGTTATCGGCAAAGTGATGGATACCACTCTACCGTGAAATCGAAAGTAAGGTGAATAAACAAGAACAAAATTACCAAGAAAATTGAATCCGCTTATGGGAGAACACAAACAGGTGCCACCATGTCCGGAAACGTAGGACGGGTTGTTCACGCATACTCAAACATATTCACATTCATACAGACAACAGGGATCTTATGTTCTTTCACCATGGTAACGTGAGAATTCAACCATTCTAGCCAAATCACAAACCAAATCTGAAGGTCTTCTACTGCAGGGAATATACAAAGAAGATTAGTGCTTATAATTCAGGAAACTGTTTGGCCATAATCAAGCGACCTAAAACCTGGCAAGCCATCAAAACAACACCCAGTAGTCTTGTATAAATAATTTAAAGGCTACTTAGTACATTATCCAGTACATCCCCTCGCCAGACTTAACTCCCTGTGGATTGTAGTGGTGGCATGAATGCAAAAATAACTAGAACGAAACAAAAAAGCTAAAGACTATTACCGACCGTCCAGAAACAGGAGGGATCTATTTAAGACTCACAATTAACTCGAAACCTCCCACTTCCGTCTATTATTGTTACAACTTTATGAATGTTACAAGGCTTAAAACAGCAACAACTAATAAAAATTCTTCATTAAACTCATCATGTTCTTAACTCTAGTCCAATAGATAATGTCCGAACACAAATTTGTTTAAATTGTTATATTCGTCACCAACGTATATCTTAGCCTGTTCTGTACATGCGTTAAATTATATCATCTCCATACCATTTGAATTTAGCAATTGTGTGAACCACCATTGAGATTTTCCAATGAGCCTATCGTGGTCGTTATTGCTAGACGTATTTGGGTTTACAAATCTTGCTGTCTTGTTCGTCTCCTAAAAAGACGTGTAACATAGTTCAGTTAATCAGGTCACCACAGTAACGCACTATCATGCTTCATTGACATAATGAACAGACTATCACGTAGTTGATAGTCAAGCAAGCATTGAAAACAAGAGCTGGAGACTACTATCAAAATTGACAGTAAGTGAAAGAATACATTTGGATCACAATTTGTAATGTAATCGAGCAGCTAAAACTTCTGATATTTTCGAATCACATAAAAAAACAATGCCCATTTTCAACTAGCTAACACCTAATCAACACCAACTAGATATTCACTTTTGAATATCGTCATAAATTCCTATCATGACTAGACAATCACGTAAGATGACTGATAACCGTAATGAAACGATTGGCATACTCGGCTGACAAATTGAATTTGTTTATCACCAGATCTCTTCTCGTGGTCATCTTCATCCACTATAGATGATTTCAATATGTTTCTCTGTCCGTTTCTCATTCAGTAAATGTCTTGGAATCTTGTCGGTCTAATTAGCGACACAACCATGCATGCAAATCCTCGGTATAAGCAATCAAGCAAATCTTCTGCACAGTGAAAACATCACAGTCGGATTTACCCCACTACTTAAAAAGATTCATGCCATTATCATAGACATAAAATGGGTGTTGTACTCCCCTTGATTTCAACTTTTGCTCCCCCTGATAATCACATGATCACCATTCACTCTTTACCATCCTGCAAAGATTTATTCAGCCGAAAGCATCTTAAAACACTATGTCACGTACATCTGTAGAAACTAGGTTACCGAGGGGCATTTTCAAAATCCGTCGCAAAAAGCAACTTACAAGCGTAAACGTTTGCGATGTGAGGTGACTGTGTATTGGCACTGTATATCCAAAATAATGATTTGATATTAACGCTTCTAATAATTTTGTCTCGTTCAGAGTTAATCATTCACAAGGCCATAGTAAGAAAAGTTTGAGAATCATATTCTAATAAAATCATAATGAGATACTGATTTTCACATTGAGTGGTCAATGACCACAAGCGGTATCAGCTCGACCTGTGAACGAGTCTAAAGAGGAAATAAATATTCACCGAAAAACACACCTCAAAGGTTAATTAAGGTTATCAGAACTATCGTCTTCATTACCGAATACCAGAAGTTCAACCGCAGTTTATCTATAATACAATCCGTCACACTGATGAGCTCCTCTATAACTGTGGTCAATGATATATATATATATATATATGATCCTGCCTCTATTTGAACGGCTTTGAAATCAAATGAGGGAGCTTGTGTCCACATTCTGTTTCTTTGAAATACCACACATCTACAAAGAAACTCTTACTGTATTATTCGTAACAGGGTTTTTGGATAATGTCCCATATGACTGCAGTCATATTTTATCGGTGTTTATTTCGCATCTTATTGCATAATTTTGTACTTTTCCATTCGAACATACATAATATCAGTGTTTCATTTGGAATACTTCTAAACTCTGAAGTGGTACGATGGTTGTGTATAGTTCTTCCAAACTTTTATTACTGTTCGTATATTTATTCGCAGTACGTTTTCTTCTACTGGTGTTTTCTATACACTTGTTCGTGTTCCCTTAACATAAAATGAAACAAGAATTTATATTTACACTTCAATAGTCACATGAACTTCCTTCTGAATTATGTTGAACTATCAGACTAATTGTAGTTGGTTTATATGCAAATATTCGTAAAACTCTCAAAGATGATGGTTTGTGTAAGGAAATGGAAAACCGTTTATTCACAGAGCTTATTTGCAAATA